CAAAGCCCTCTTAGTCACATTTCCATCTTCATACATTGGCTTCTGCCTTACAATCGGGCAATAGGAAACCATCACTCCTAATTTTTACACTTGCTGTTTTTTAAGTCTCTGGGAACTTTCCATGATGCATAGTAGAGGGTTTCATAAGAATTTAGCTCTTCCTTTGAACCTGCTTAGCCAATAAACTAAATATTTTCAAAAACACAAAATAAAAAATGTGTTTTTTTTTCCAGAAGCTTAGAAAAAGCTCCCCACTTTCTTTTTTTTTTTTTTTTTTTTTTTTTTTTTTTTTTTTTTTTTTTTTTTCTTGAGACAGAGTCTCACTCTGGAGTGCAGAGGAATGATCTCGGCTCACTGCCACCTCTATCTCCCAGGCTCAAACAATTCTCCTGCCTTAGCCTCCTGAGTAGGTAGGACTACAGGTGTCTGCCACCACACCCAGTTAATTTTTCTGTAGTTTTAATAGAGACAGGGTTTCACCATATTGGGCAGGGTGGTCTCGAACTTCTGACTTTCTGATCCACCCACTTCAGCCTTCCAAAGTGCTAGGATTACAGGGGTGAGAAACCACACCCAGCCAAGCTTCCCACTTTCTAAAGTTTTCATCTTTGGACTCTTGGTTTTAGCAAACAGATTCCAAATGATCAAGGATCAAAAAGTGCTGGGGGTGGCAGGGAGGAAGCAAGGATGGGCTTGAATGATCACAATGAGTCCATCAGAAATGTGCAGTAGAAGAGTTTGTTAATGATGTCTGAGTTCCATCTCCTGGAATTACTGTTTCTTATTACTACACTTTAGGTCAGACAGAAGGGGTGTTAAGCGTAAAAAGGGTAAGGAGAAAATGGATAAAGAGAAAAATACACACCTCCATGAAAAAAGAAGCAGAAAAACTGTAGACTCTTGTGTCTCTGCTTATTCTTCTAAGTACAGTGTTTTAATAGACAAAAGAGAAGCTTTATGAGTTTATATATGTGTGAATAGTGTTTATAAAAAGGGTATATGTTAGTCATTATGGAATATTGCATAAATAAACCTTGCATATATACAATATATAAATATATAAAAAATGATTGCTTAGGGCAGTGGACACTTAAGGACTTCTAAACCTTTCATATCTTCATCCCAAAAAATAAAGAGTTCCAGGGCTGGCGGCTTATTTTCTTGGTATATTCCACTGTAAAGCCAAGAGGTTTGGGGGCTTGTTTGCTGGTTTTGTGATTTATAATGATCTGTATGGATTACTTTGAAATGTCTGTTGCGTGTGTGTTGGTGTTGTTTACCCACATGGAGTCATCAGAGATTCGTGCCACACTTTGTATCCTGGAAAACCAAAAGGAATTTTCTAGTAAGAAGAAAAACATACAGAATATGTCTTCACTGTTGGGTAACTCTCAGATTTGTAGCATTCCAGATTTCTTGTAAAACTGTGCTAATGGGGTGTTTAATGTCAGGGTTATTGTCTCTCACTTCAATATCCAGTACTGATCATGTTTCTCCTGGGAGCACATTTATTTTTCAAGTGCTTTTTTCCTGGACTTAACATGTTCTTCTAGAAGATATCAGAAGTCATGACCCTAAGCCACCTCCCATCAGGACCACTTTCTACCATCAGTTTTCAAAAAACTATCCACATGATCCACATGTTAATTCAGTTTTAAGTTCTGTGATTCTGTGGTAGACTCAGTGCTTTCAGAGTCCAGAGCTTGACTTGGGTTCGTGGCCCTAATGAAGTGCTAAATTTGCTCTTTACCACCGAAACTGATCAGAGGAAGCAAAAAGGGAAAGGGGGCTCCCTTGCTGGAGAGGTCCACTCGCATCTTTTACATCAGACAAGAGGAGAACTGTGCCAGAAATCTGTGCATGAAACACCATCTGCTCTTCATGCAGGGAGGGTCAACCACGTGAACCTGCAGAGAGTACTCAAGTCTCCTTTGCCAAAAATGTGCATTGTTCCCAGCTGTCAGTGTATGAAGCCCAGTACATCTTTTAGTATGAAACAATAAAAACATGTTTATTTTCACTTACTAGGGTGTTCCCCAGGCCTGGATTTTTTTTTTTTTTTCATTAGCTGCTTTGGAGAGGGCAGCACTTTGTCATAGATTAAATGTCAACAGTGTGCATTTGATTTCTCCCAAAGGGGTTTAGCTCCTGGCAGGTGCTCTGGACATCCAAAAGGGAGGGCTGGGAGGAGAGGAAATCACTTTGTTGGGTAAGAATTGCCTAGTTTCAGTGGAGGCAGGTGGAGGAGCGGGCAAGTAACATTTCCTTTTAATGCCGAGCAGGCTGAATTCACCTCTGTGGAGCAAACTCTGGTTTGCACAACCCTGTGGGCCTATGAAGGCCTCGTGGCTGGACTCCTTCTTTGCCTGGTTAGTGCAAAGGTTAGGTGCACAGCCCCAAGTGCCTGATTTCCTGTGTTGCTGTGTTGCCAGCTGTTTGGGCTTGGGCAAGTTACTTAACCTCTCTGTGACTCAGATCCCTTTTCTAGCAAATTAAGATGTAATAGCACCTTTCTGAGGGATGTTAAGGATAAATGTCTTAAAACATGTAAAGTGCTTTGAACAGTGCCTGGCACATGTAAGTGATCAATAAAATTAGTAGTTTACACCTTCACAATGTTTGCCATATCCATCTACTACCTGTATAATTATTTAATTATTATTATTAATTAATTATTATTATTATTTAATCTACTACCTGTATTATTATTTACTCACAGTTCTTATTTTAATTGCCTTTTGAGGTGGAGGCAACTTCATCTCTGGTATCAACTTTCAACTAGAATTTAATTTAAAAGAAAACTGTATGTTCCAATGGTAAATTAGTATAATTTGGACAGGTGCAGTGGCTCACGCCTGTAATCCCAGCACTTTGGGAGGCCAAGGCAGGTGGACAGCTTAAGTCCAAGAGTTCAAGACCAGCCTAGGCAAAGTGGCAAAACCACATCTCCACTAAAAACACAAAACTTAGCCAGACATGGTGGCACACGCCTATAATCCCAGCAACTCCGAGGCACAAGAATCACTTGAACCTGGGAGGTGGAGGTTGTGTGAGATGAGATGACGCTGCTGCACTACAGCCTGGGCAACAGAGTGAGACTTGGTCTAAAAAAAAAAAAAAAAAAAAAAGGAAAATTAGTATAATTTGCTACAAATATAAAGTACCCATAAAACAGTAATCACAAATATTTACTGGGTCCGTCCTTGTTGGCAGGCCATGTGCTAAATGTCTTGATTTACAATCCTTGTGCCCTGTGAAGTCAGTACTATTAACATCCTACTTCCCAGATAAGGAAACCGAAACAGAGAGAGGTTAGCAAATTTGCCTATGGTTGCGTAATTAGTAAACAGAGGAGGCATTTCAGACTACAGAACCCAGGTTCTTCGGCACTGCTCAGTGCTGCTGCCCTAACAAAAACATCTTCCAAGCGTGGTGGATGGTCGCTTCCTAGGGCTGCTAAAATGACCAAAAATTCAGTAGTTTAAAACAACAAAAACTTATGGTCTGGAGGCTAGAAGTTCAATATCAAGATGTTGGCAGGGCCATGCTCCCTCCAAAATCTCTGAGGGAGGATCTTCCCTTGCCTCTTCCAACTTCTGGCAGTCCCAGGCATTCCTGGGCTTGCAGCAGCGTCTCTCCCAGCTCTGCCTCCGCCTTCACATAGCCATCTTCCCTCTGTGACTCTCTTTGTGTCTTTTCTCCTCTTCTTGCAAGGACGCAAGTCATACCGGATTGGACCCACCCTAATGATCTCATTTTAACTAGATACACCTTCAAAGATCCTATTTCCCAGATAAAATTGTATTCACAGTTACCAGGGTTAACCCTGGTCGATTAGTATAATTTAGCTGGGTGCAGACTTCAACCTATCTTTCAGTAGAGGGGTGGGAAGTGGGGAACACAATTCCACCCATAGCCTACCTGAGGTTTTGAGCCTGGGGCCTGGAGAAGATTTGTAAGTGTTACAGAGGTGTTCAAGATGAGCACCAACCTGAGACTCTCTCACTTAAGCAATCAGACCTGAAGAGTCTGGATAAGGGAAAAACAATGGCTGATGTGTTTCAGTGACATTTCCAGCCAGTCCACATGTTAACTAAAGTTAACCACATCGTGCTCCATCCCTGATACTCTGAGGAAGGTGGCTTGGCATAAGTAAGCCACGTAACAACTTTTCCAGCTTCTCAGACATCCCTCATGAAAGGATGGCAGTAGAAATCCAGAGGGGAAAATGCAAGCTTCCAAAACTCCAGCAAGGAAGGGGAGGCACAAAAGTCAGCTCTAGGCTACATGCGGTGGCTCACGTCTGTAATCCCAGCACTTTGGGAGACCGAGGCAGGCGGATCACCTGAGGTCAGGAGTTCGAGACCATCCTCGCCAACACGATGAAACCCCGTCTCTACTAAAAATACAAAATTAGCCGGGCATGGTGGGCACATACCTGTAGTCCCAGCTACTTGGGAGACTGAGGCAGGAGAATCACTTGAACCCAGGAGGCAGAGGTTGCAGTGAGCCAAGATGGTGCCGCTGCACTCCAGCCTTGACAACAAGAGCAAGACTCCATCTCAAAAAGAAAAAAAAAAAAAAAAGGCAGAGCGCAGTGGCTCACACCTGTAATCCCAGCACTTTGGGAGGCCAAGGCAGGTAAATCACCTGAGGTCAGGAGTTCAAGACAGGCCTGGCCAACATGGCGAAACCCCGTCTCTATTAAAAATACAAAAATTAGCTGGGCGTGGTGGTACGCGCCTGTAGTGTCAGCTACTTGGGAGGCTAAGGCAGGAGAATTGCTGAAACCCGGGAGGCAGAAGTTGCAGTGAGATCAGTGAGATCACGCCACTGCACTCCAGCCTGGGTGACACATGAAGACTCTGTCGAAAAAAGGAAAAAGAAAAAAACCTCACCTCTAGATCTGCTTTATATGGCTGGACTGGAATAGCAAATTCAGACAAATAATAAAGTCATCAACAGGGGAATGTGTAAAGAAAGAACAACAGCAGAGACAGTAGGGGGGAATCATTTATTTTCATATCATTTCAATAAAAACTTACAAAAAAGCAATTGTTCTACTGAGAGGCTTGAGAAGAGGGTGCTGGGGCATAAGGAGGAGGAGTTATCTTGCTCTGTCAAACCAGGGTGTCCTTTGGGACTGCACGGATTTCGTAGACATGGGAGGTCCTCATCTTGAGTTCCTGGGCCACCTGGCGGATGAAAAAAGGCCAGCAGCAGTGCACCACCAGCCGGTCTTCACACAGTGTGCCCTAGGGAGAGACCAAAGTCTCTGTTCTGCTGCAATCACACAGGCTCATTTTTCTTCCCCAGGGACCTGTACAATATAATCTCCTAGCCCTTCAACCATGGCTTCCAAGATTCACCAACATCCGTAAACCAATGTAGTGCCAAGCAGCTGAATTGCTAATCTGAATTGCTAACCTGCCTTTATCATTGAAACCGCTGATTTCTCTATTTCTTGGTTCTTTCTCTTAGGATCTGATATTTATAATATTTCTTTGGAGTAGGTAATAAGTGCACATGGCCTAAAATTCCAGTGTAAGAGGCCAGGCGCATTGGCTCACACCTATAATACCAGCACTTTGGGAGCCCGAGGTGGGTGGATCACGAAGTCAGGAGTTTGAGACCAGCCTGACCAACATGGAGAAACCTCATCTCTACTAAAAACACACACACACAAAAGAATCCAATGTAAGAAGGGATAGGAAGTAAAAAGTAAATCCCTCTCTCCAGCTGTTCAAACCATTCAGTTGCCTGCCTGGAAGTAATCATTGTTACCAGTTTCTTGTAACTGGTGAAACAAATTCTATGTCTACATAAATATACACATAAATAGTCTTTTTAAATAGTTCCAGATAAATTCTATGTCTACATAAATATATACATATATAGTCTTTTTAAATAGTTACATACTACTGTTCTTTACTTGTTGTTTTCACTTAAAAACATATCAGGCTGGGCTGGGTGCAGTGGCTCACACCTGTAATCCCAACACTTTGGGAGGCCGAGGCAGGCGGATCACCTGAACGCAGGACTTTGAGGCCAGCCTGGCCAACATGGTGAAATCCCATCTCTAGCAAAATAATATGGTATTTTAGTTAACTTATACTTCCTGGTAAAGAATAAAATTTTTAAATGTATTTCCTTTCTCAAAGTTTCCCACTAAACATGGTATGTTTCAATATCCTCGCCCACCCTTCTTTTATTTGGAAAATTACAGGTTTGGAAGGCATCCAGTTCTCACATAGATTCAGGTTCACATTCACCTTCAAATACACTTACCTGTATTTTATGTCTCTCCCTGGTGCCAATTCTCAGTGCAAAGGTGGACCCAGGTAACAGCGGCCAACAAAGACACTCTCCATAATGCCTGGAGATGTCACACTCAAGACACATAGGACAGAATATACCACAGAAACCTGTCAATAAGTACATCAAAGAAAGCCAAAGTTCTCAGATTTCTTGGAGCAACTTCACATCTCAAAGAATATTTACAACCCTATGCCACCAGTTTAATACTGCACTGTCTCCCTGCTATCAGAGACTGAGAATAAATAACAAAGTCCTAAAACTCATTGCATGAAAATTGCCATAACTGAGCCACATCAAAATTGCCTTCTTTTATTAAACACTGGCAAAGCTGAACCTGATATAATTCTGTTAGCGTTGACTATGGTAATTGTTTTGTTCCTGTTAAGAGAAAAAGTATCAAATAATTTTTATACAGTTGAATCATAACTGTTGCCTCTATTATGTTCATCTATCTAATTTCAATATTTAAAATAAACATGGTATACAGGATACTTTTGAATAACAGACATCTATTTCTATAAGTGTGATGGAAAGGTCTTTTCGTAGCACACTGATTATGCCTCCTATTCTGAACAGGGCTTTATTCTATTTCTCAGACCAAATTACTCAAATTTTTGTTAGTGTCACAGAGCCACTGACACCTGCCAGTTTTAATCTGCAAACTCTTAGGGGCTTGGTTCCTTGACCATTGACTGGAAACAGTGTGTCAATTATTAGTTCACTCATCTTTACTGATATTATTTTCTACACATTCTGCATGAAACTTCTAACACAGAGGTTTTATTCTGAATAAGTTTTGGTTCACAGACTGTTTTGAGAATACAATGACAGCTATGAACTCAGTCCACAAGGGAAAAGAAAAATACATGCACATAGACATGCAAAATTGTGCATCCAATTTCACGGAGTTCATGGATCCACTGAAAATTATTAACAGACCACAGGTTAAGAATCCCTGATATACAGTTAAGATGTTATGTCATCTAGCATTGGGAAAGATGACAACTGATGAATGCAAATAATTAGGGCTGTGAAACAGCAAGAATTCCAAGCTAACCCTAATCTCTGAAAATTTTTTCAAATAAATATTATATTGAGGCATAATTCATAGGTAAGAATGTAATCTCAGCACTTTGGGAGGACAAGGTGGATGGATCACTTAAGGTCTGGAGTTCGAGACCAGCCTGGCCAACATGGTGAAACCCCATCTCTACTGAAAATACAAAAATTAGCCAGGCGTGGTGGTGCACCCCTGTAATCCCAGCTACTCAGGATGCTGAGGCAGGAGAATGGCTTGAACTCAGGAGGCGGAGGTTGTAGTGAGCTGAGATCACGCCACTGCGGTCCAGCCTGGACAACAGAGCAAGACTCCATCTCAAAAATCAAGGTGCACAAGAACCGATCATAATACGTGCCAGCTGGAACCTCAGAAAACCTGGAGTGCTTTCATGTTTGAGAATCCTGTTCCACTTCATATTAATGTTCCAAAAGCAAAGAAAATCCTGTAAATCCTGCCAGGGAATGTCAGGTGTTTAGTCAGGTGTTGTAGATAGTGATGACCACCCTAGTAGCTGTTAATTAGCCATCACACACCCACCATTTAGAATGTTTATTTTTGCTCTTGAAAGACTTTCAGAAACAAGCAAGGGAAGGGTCAAACCAAATCAAAAGAAACCAAGATAAAAGTGCTCACAGAAATGTTAACTGAGGTGTGCAGATCAAACAAAATATGAAACTAGGTGCGTAAACTGAAAGAGGCATGCGTCACAGGCAGCATGCAAATTCTGCAGAAACCCAGAATATGCAATCCACAAAGACACTGGTTTCCATACCAGGAAGGGCTTACCAGAAAAGATTAAAAAAAAAAAAAAGTCTGTTATCATTTCAGGAAGGATGTATAGTCCCTTATTAAGGTGGTCTTAGCCAGGCACGGTGGCTCACACCTGTAATCCCAGCACTTTGGGAGGCTGAGGCTGGTAGATCACTTGAGGTAAGGAGTTTGAGACCAGCCTGGCCAACATGATGAGACTCCATCTCTATTAAAAATACAAAAATTATCCAGGCATGATGGCTGATGCCTGTAATCCCATCACTTTGGGAGGCCGAGGCAGGTAGATCCCCTGAGGTCAGGAGTTCAAGACCAGCCTGGCCAACATAGTGAAATCCCATCTCTACTAAAAATACAAAAATTAGTTGGGCATGGTAGTTGGCACCTGTAATCCCAGCTACATGGAAGGCTGAGGCAGGAGAATCACTTGAACCTGGGGGCGGAGGGTGCAGTAGGCTGAGATCATGCCATTGCAGTCCAGCTTGGGCAACAAGAGCAAAACTCCGTCTCAAAAAACAAAAAAAAAAAAAAAAAAAAATAGAAAAATTAGCTGGGCATGGTGGTGCATGCCTGTAATCCAAGGAACTGGGGAGGCTAAGTAAGGCAGGAGAATCACTTGAACCCAGGAGGCAGAGGTTGAAGTGAGCCAAAATCAGGCCACTGCACTGCAGCCTGGGCAAAGGAGTGAGACTCCATCTCAATAAATAAATAAATAAATAAAAGACAGTGATCTTATCTTACAGATCCCAAATAATATCAAAAAGACTAATAAAAGAAATCAAAAAGCCTCTAACAAAAGAAGGGAGGCTCAGCCTGAGCGGGGATAACCAGGGCAAGAAAGAAGAGCCATCCATGTAAACACAGAGCTCAGAGTGAGTGCTGCACAGCCATTCCAAAAACCATCAATATCTTCCAGTAGCGATCTCATTCATGTCCCATTTCTGATTCCATATCTGTCAACCTAATGAACAGAGAGAGGCTCTGTAAAAGAAGAGTTGTTTGCACCAGGCACAGTGGTTCATGCTTGTAATCCCAGCACTTTGGGAGGCCAAGGCAGGTGGATCACCTGAGGTCAGGAGTTCGAGACCAGCCTGACCAACATGGTGAAACCCCAACTCTACTAAAAATAAAAATAAAAAAATTAGCGTGGCATGGTGGTGGGCGCCTGTAATCTCAGCTACTCAGAAGGCTGAGCCAGGAGAATCACTTGAACCCAGGAGGCAAAGGTTGCAGTGAGTCAAGATTGCACCACTGTACTCCAGCTTGGGTGACAGAGGCAGTCTCAAAAAAAAAATAAATAAATAAATAAAATAAAATAAAATAAAATAAAAGATGTTTATTTAGGAATATAGCACTGTAATGAGAATCTGCATGGCATAGCAAACTATGTGCAGATTCAGCAAACTATGTGCAGAAAGGAAGACAAAAGCTCTTACAAGAAAAAATGAGGAGGAGTACGTAACTGTTTTGAAATAATTATCAATATTAAAGGTGATGCCAGTTTGAGGTCAGACAGGTCCTTCTACAAAGGTCTTTGTAGAACTATTTTTTGTGTAAAGTTGTAATGCCCTTTGGGAGAGTTTGTGGTTTCTGTAGAGTCTTTAGTGATTGTTTTTGTTATTAGGCATACAAACATGAGAATCCTGTCTTCATGGCATTCCCTGGCTTTATTTTTCAAGTCTGTCTTTCTCTTTCTTTCTTTCTTTTCTTTCTTTCTCTTTCCTTTTCTTTTTCTTTCTTTCTTCTTTCTCTTTCTTTCTTTCCTTTTCCTCTTCTTTCTTTCTTTCTTTCTTTCCTTTCCCTTCCTTGCTTCTCTCCTTCCCTCCTTCCTTCCTCTCTGTCTCTCTCTCTTTTTCTTTCTTTCAGATGGAGTCTTGCTCTGTCTCCCAGGCTGGAGTGCAGTGCATGATCTTGCCTTACTGCAACCTCTGCCTCCTGGGTTCAAGCGATTTTCCTGCCTCACCCTCCTGAGTAGCTGGGATTAAACCACCATGCCCGGCTAATTTTTGTAATTTTAGTAGAGACAGTGTTTTGCCATGTTGGCCAGGCTGATCTCCAACTCCTGACCTCAGATGATCCGCCTCCCTTGACCTCTCAAAGTGCTGGGAATACAGGTGTGAGCCACTGCACCTGTCCTACCCAGGAAAGAATTCAGGGCAATCCAGAGGTAGAAGAAACAGCTTTACTGAAGTGGCAGTGTCACAGCTTGGTGACCGCTCCTGCAGAGCAGGGCTATTCATGGGCAGACAGTAGCAGCTCAGGGCAGTTCCGCAGTCATATTTATACCCACTTTTAATTCTGTGTGCAGATTAAGGGGCAGTTCATGCAGAAATTTCTAGCAAAGGGGGAGTAACCATTGGGTCACTGCTATGGAAAGGGGCAGTAACTCCCAGGTGTTGCCATGGCAATGGTTAATTGGCATGGCACACTTGTGGGCCTGTCTCATTGAAAGCTGCTTCCAGAGGGGCACGGTGGCTCAAGCCTGTAATCCCAGCACTTTGGGAAGCCAAGGCCGGTGGATCACCTGAGGTCTGGAGTTTGAGACCAACCTGGTCAACATGGCGAAATTCTGTCTCTACTAAAAATAAAAATATTAGCCAGGCATGGTGGCAGGCACCTGTAATCCCAGCTACTCAGGAGGCTGAGGCAGGAGAATCACTTGAACCTGGGAGGCGGAAGTTACAGTGAGTTGAGATTGTGCCACTGCACTCCAGCCTGGGAGACAGAGCAAGACCCTGTCTCAAAAATCACGCCTGTAATCCCAACACTGGGAGGCCAAGGTGGGAGGATCACCTGAGGTCAGGAGTTCGAGACCATCCTGACCAACATGGAGAAACCCCGTCTCTACTAAAAATACCAAAAAATTAGCCAGGTGTGATGATGCATGCCTGTAATCCCCGCTACTTGGGAGGGCAGGAGAATCATTTGAACCCCGGATGCAGAGGTTGCAGTGAGCCGAGATCGTGCCATTACACTCTAGCCTGGGCAACAAGAGTGAAACTCTCTCTCAATAATAATAATAATAATAATAATAATAATAATAATAATAGTAATAATAATAATAATAATAAAGAAAGATGCTTCCCACCCTCCCACCGCCCTGTTTGACCAAGCCCCGCCTCTGGTTCTACCTCACTCTAATCTTGCTCACTGGCCTCTAGGGGGAGCTGCAGTCAAGAAACCTGCATTGGTCAAACCTCTAACACCCTTGGATTATCTGTACTGCCCACTTCTCTGTTCCTGGAGGCACATGACATTTCTGCTTCTGCAAACTGGACCA